GTGAGGATTAAGTGGTGTATAGATGATGGATGGATGACTAGGAAGATCAGATTGGACAAACAAGACTGAGTTGGATTTAGGCTATGATAAGGTTTACTATCTGTAATGTATGCTGTAATGTTTTTGACTGACCAATAAAGAGAGCACAATAACCACAGCTGCAACACTTATTGTCATTGGAAAGATAAAAGTTCTTCTCAGAGGTTCTCTTAAAACTTTTCTAAACTGTCTTACTGGGATTGTCTGTGTAAATTCAGGCCATCTAGGTCATGGTAATCCCAGGAGCTTCACTAAAGTGAGAACTGAAGAAGCCTCTTGGATGAGAGGTGAGAAATCTTCAAAGAACCCTAAAGAGACGTCCAGTTGCTTTTTACTGAAGCTACGAGGATTTTACTACTTTACTACTTCTCTCTGAATTTGGTAAACATCCCTAAATGAAGTATTTCATTGGCTATACGTAGTAGTTTAGAATAACAGGATAATGTGGTACTGCGCCTCTTCTCAGTGTAATGCTGTGATAATAGCTGCAATGTCCACGGTTTGACTCTTTTGTTATATTTTACACTCCCTGTCACTGTCCCACCATTCTCTCTCTCTGACGGTTTAAATATCAAAAAATAAATCTTATAACCAGTGGTAGGTGGATTTTTGGCGCCTGGTTGAGCTGGCGACCCATGTATAGGGGCTACAGTCCCCGATGCAGCGGTCATGGGTTCGAGTCCCGCTCATGACCCTTCTCTGCCGGTCCTTGCCCCATTCTTCTCCCCCCTCTTTCCTCTCTCTCTCTCTCTCTCTCTCTCTCAGTCCTATCCAATAAAGCCAAAAAATATCTTTAACAAAAAAAAACAAAACAGTGGTAGGTGGATTTCACGTTACTCAAAATGCCTATTTCCTAAATGCATACATATTCAAGATTAAATCTGAAATCTGAAAAATGCAGGTGGGTAATTCCAACAACATCCCAATTAGCTGTAAGAAAAATGCAGGTCTGCTTGTGAGCATGCTCATAACGATGTGACGTCACTTTGATGGGATAAATACTTTTATGTTCAGAGCCACGGAGAAGGCTTACCTCAAGTTTTGAAACTTTGACCGTGTATAGCTGCACATATATATACAGTACATTTACATATATAATGTGTGTAACTCTTTATAGCTGCCAAGTAATCGCCTTTGCAAGAATTCAAAGTTTTTTAAGTAAGTTAGCGTTCAGCACGTCCAAAGTCATTTCTCTGCATGTACTTGCACTAAAGCACACTTTCACTTTCTCTGATGATACCAGCTGCTGGGCATTGATCTCTTACCTGTGTCTTATCATACATTAGACCTGATATAACAGTGTGTTAAGCTTTTGACGGAGCTCAGGAAGAAGTGTGAGGTTTGATATAATGTGCTGGAGCAACAGAGGCATAATGCTGCCAGCGTTGTAGTGTAAGAACCCACCAAGCCTGCTGTAAGAGATGATTAATACACTCTTTGATGTCTTACCGGCAAAATGGCTAGCAGGAATAATCCGTTTACAATGGTTCTGATGCGTGTGCCACTCTGTGTGTGTGTGTGTGTGTGTGTGTGTGTGTCCATTCCAGTGGAGTTCAAGAAATTGGACCTAGCCTCTTTGCAGTCTGTCCGTCAGTTCGCCCAGAGCTTCAAGGAGCGGGACCTGCCGCTAAACATTCTGGTTAATAATGGTGAGTAGCGGAAACGTCATGTTCTCCAAAACGTGTGTAAAGTGTTCGGCGAGAAACGTACAAATCCTCTACACGGCAGCGTAATTTAGATGCCGTCACCTGATTGAATTTAACAGGATTCACAGCATGAAACTCAGCCGCAGACCCACTGAGGAATCTTCTACATGAACGAAAACACACTGAGCTCAAACAGCCTGTCGCTGAAAACAGCTGTCATGTTTCCAGTAGAACTTTAAAATGTATGTTAATTAACTATTAATGATGTGAAAGAGGGTGGATATTCTTGGAACTACTTTTCAGAAGTGTGATCTGTCCTTTTTTTTTTTTATATGTGTGTGTGCCAAGAAATAATGGTAGCCTCCAGAGCATTTTAGCTATTATATCAGCATTAGCGTTTCTTATGGAGATGCTGCGTACGGCTGCAGCTGAACGGAAACAGAAGCGGCATGTGGACATCCCATAAAGAACACACATCATGAACTAGATCTATTAGTGATTGGTCTTTAATGATTAGTTGCATGTAATAAGAGTGGTTGTTTGTGTTTAAATTATTAACACCAATAACACTAACATTTATTTTTGTGTGTGTCTTGAATCGTTTGTGTGCATCAAGCGAGTGTAATGCTGGTTCCTGAGGGCCGTACTGAGGATGGATTTGAGCAGCACTTTGGTGTAAACTACCTGGGCCACTTTCTGTTGACCTGGCTGCTCCTGGATACGCTGAAGGATTCTGGGAAATGTGGTCACGTCTCCCGCGTGGTCAATGTCTCGTCCTCGGCCCACCGCATCGGGGAGATCCGACTAAATGACCTAAATAGCTGGTAGGTACGGACACATGCAGATAGCAAGGATTTTTATTTATTTATACAAATAATCAACAAATAAATAATGATACTGATATGCAAAAATATAAACAAACCGCTTGCTAGAGACCGTCTTTTCATCTAACTGCTTCTGGTAAGGGGCAAGAAGAAGCACAGACATTAATTCTAATCCTTGTGCTTAAATCTAATGCTTGCTGGCATTAAACCATTTGCTATTCTGAGAACGTTTAGCACGCGCAACCATATCTATTGACGTATTACTTTGCTGACCATTTACAAAAAGGGCTTTGTTGAAGGAACTCCTTTAATGTGATCCATCTTTCTGGGAAAAAAAAAAACATTTCAGGCCCCAACTTATCACACTCACCTGCCTTCTCCGTTTTGCTGTCATCAACGAATGTCTCAATTTCTATTGGCGTTAGTTGGCAACCGTTGGTTCCAGCTGGCTCAATATTGTCCTGGCTCTCGGCGCTGCTGTCAAAAAGTATTAGCAGCCTAAATATCCTCATCATGTTGTTTCATTTGGCATGGTGGTAGGTTATGGCCAGAGTCCTTAAACTCTCAGAACTTGTTATAAATTCTTAAGTAGTCTACAGTATCTCGATTCATTACAAAAGCCTGTCAGTCCAATGAACTGCTGTGGCTGTAGTTGGATGTCTAGAAGTCACACTGATTTCAAAATACAAATGTGAAACCAGGTTGTTGCTACATTCAGCTTTAGCACAATGCAGTGGGTCGATGTTATCCCATGTCTGGATTGTGTGGGGAGCAGTAAAAGTTCTTTATTTATGTAAATTTCAATCAGTTTATATTAGAGAGGTGGGATTGTTCCATCATGCATCTGTGCCACTGATCATCATCTAGGTGGACGCACATTTGTCTTAATAGGCATGAAACTACATGACAGAAAAGTCACTGTAATCTCACTGGACAATACTCAGAACCTCATCATGATTGTTGGCGTACAACTAATTTTGCATCTACTTCAATAAAGGAATACTGATGTTCACTTACTCTTAACTCGTTGCTTTTGTTCAACCTAATTTTTCACCCTTCATTCAGTTTATTAGCAGTGCCTCCAGATACAAAGCTGTCTGTGCTTCAACGAGACTGGAGGAAAATAAAACCTGTTGTGTTTCATTTGGTTATTTAATCGCTGTGTGTGTTTTGAGTTTTACATTTACACGTGTATCACCTGTAGCTAAAGTAATTAATAGAATTAAACATTTTCTCTAGTGGATATGAAATACTCTAGTTTCAAAGATTTGTGTTTAAGCAGAACGAGCTTATTTGAAATCAGTACAGTCTGCGGTCTCTGTGCGATTAAAACTGCAGATATGTAAATGACTTCCCCGGCAATCCAGTGGTATAGAAATTATAAGCAAACAACAGGAAAACCGTTTTAGCAGCAGCTGTTTGGAACAAACCGAGTTGTTTACCCCCTTTTTAACCCTATTATATTTAAACAGAGGCACATTTCATTGTTTTTATGTTAAACCTTGACATCCGGATGTGCTTTCTCTCTCTCTCTCTCTCTCTTCAGCCAGCATTATTCAGCCCACGCTGCTTATTGTCACAGTAAGCTGGCCCAGCTGCTGTTCAGTTCCCACCTCCACCAGGAGATGCAGCATGGAGGTTTCCCAGTGAGTTCGTGTGCCGTGGATCCTGGCATGGTGGATACATCTCTGTACCGCCACCTCTGGACACCTTTCCGTCTGGCACAAAGTGTCATCGCTCGCCTGCTTTTCAGAGTAAAACACCTCTCTCACCCTGATCTACTTTGCGCGCACCAAATCTGATTTATGTCATCCAAGGACACAGCAGACCAGCTCTGATATAAACTGCTGTTATGCAGCCCGGATTAATCTAAACTTGATAATTATAGTAAATTAAATTGTGGAGAAATACCCCATGATGTACGATGCAGCTCAAACAGAAATGCCATGTGGTAGTAAGTGAATGTAAATGTAAAGTGAGTGTGTTCTTGTACCCGTTTATTTACAGATAAATGATCGCAGTACATTTTCTCAAATCTTTAATCTTGATTAAAAGACTTAAATGGATTAGGGGATAGTTTGGGGACACAAAGATACAAGCCTGGATCCTAAGACTGCAGTTTGTTCTGCTGTTGTCCTTGTAGGGTTCTTGTTCGTTAAATGATTGGAACTTTAATGTCTAGAAAGTAAAAATGTTGTTAAAACTTGTAAACACCAATTGGTCTCGTAGTTGCAGTAGGTTTCTTTTTACAGCATTGCGGCAGAACCAACCTACATTCTTTCTTAATATGCAAATTTGAAATCTTGGATCTCGGCATATGGTGATTAAAATCCTGATTTGGGGGTTATGATGGTCATGCTGTCTACCTTGTTTGACATTTATAGAACAGCAACTTTGCATTCTACATGGTTTGTCTTCCTAGAAAGAAACTGCTGCTATCATTGTCCGGTTTTTGTTCAAGGCACCACGATGACCTGAAACCACAAACTCAGCTGTGGTCAGAGTTTAATGTGAAATGAAACACTGACACTCATACACGCGGTCCATGTGCATCGCTGAGGATGGAAGTGCTGCTAAAAATCAAGCCGGGCAGTTCGCTTTGTGTTACATTTTAAAGCCTTCCTTGCGTAGCTTACAGCGAGGACCGCGGGCTGCTGTTAATGTCCCTGGGATTTAATGGAAGGAGACGTGTGAGCATGTTTGAGCCCCAAACTGCGATTGTCACAGGCATTTGCCTGTGAGCATAACCTTTGGGATGGTTCTGCCCCACATACGCAAACACATTAATCACACAAACTCGTGCACGCAATCATTAACATGCACGCGGCGCGCACACGCACACTCAAACGGATGAACTGTGACGCTCACATGTTACAACACCTTTGTATCGCATTTAGATGCATGCAGAGGCAAGGGTTAGAAGACGGAAAGAAACAGAAGGAGAGTGTGCTTCAGCCTAAATCGCAAAGCAGTGTAAGCACAGTGAAGGATAAGCATAAATTTCTATCTACAGTGTGCTGTACTGTATATCGATGCTTTGTATTGGCAGTCATGATGCTTCTTTAGAACTGCTTACTGTATAATTAAACCGGTATGTAGACATGTCCAATATATACGACAGTTCTTCATAGAAAGCTAAGTAGATGCTAGCGCTCTGTATTCTGATGCTCTTAAAAAGTCTAGGAAACCATCAGCATTTCTTGGCAACACGGCGCGATCAGTATTCAGAGTAAGTAATAACTGCAACAAAAAAAAAAAAGCAGCTTCCTTGCAGGCAAAGAAGTGAAGTCAGAAACAACAGCGAAAGGTGGCAGCCTATTGCCATGGAGACAAGTACTTTTTTTCCCATCACAAAATGCATTCGAGGAAGTGTTTTCTGCGCATTAAAACACATCCACGTGTGAACAGACGTTTAAATTACAGACAGCAAAATGAATTATGAAGGAGTTGTGTTTGCCGGTGCTGAGAAGCCCGTTAAACGAAGTAATAATTCATTCAAAAGAACAATTAAAATTCATGTTTGAAAATATTTTAGAGTACTGTAGCACACACACACACACACACACACACACACACAAACACACACGCGTACTGTTTCAGACAAGTTTGCAAGCAGTACTGTTGATGCTCGCAGGATGTGACCCCCGTCTCCGCTCTGAAACCTGCTCCTGGTCTCACAGATGACACTGAGATCATTCTTAAAACGCATCAACAACAACGCTCACACGTAGTTGTGCATGCACACACACACGCACACACATACACACACACACAAACACACACAAACAGGCACTTACCCTGAGCCTCCTTTGCACTGATGCTAACATACAGTGACATCAGCCCTACTCTTGCATTCATGCACACAATGAGCACACACACTCAGACACACACACACACACACTCAGACACACACACACACTCAGACACACACACGCTCAGACACACATTGTTGTTGTGGCGGTAACTTGTTGTTGATGTTGTCATCCTGCAGTCATTGCAATTCCTTTTGATGTTGATGTACTTTTTGATATGCAAAAACTTTTCTTGCATGTCAGACGTGTTCTTTGTGTGTGCTTGCCGTCCCCAGACTCCTGCAGAGGGCGCTGCCACTGTGCTGTCCGCCGCTCTGTCTCCGGCCCTGGAGGGGGACTGTGGAGGAGGCTACTGGGCCGATGGGCACAGGGAGATGACTACACCGCTGACCCTCGACCCCCAGTTGCAGCTGAGCCTATGGGAAATCAGCCTCCAGTTGCTGGGCCTGCAGTAGCTCGGGACTAAAGGATGACCAACAGGACTAAACCCATTTGAAAACATCAAACAAAGACCCTAATCTCGGGGCCCACCAGCCACCTTCTCCCTTTTCTTTCTCAGTCTTTTTTCTCCGTCCATACCTCACATCAAGGCGTCGGTAGCAATTGAGAGGGTCACGATCCATCGCTGGACTGTGATTGGTTGTTCGGGGAGTGAAGACCTCCTTTTTTTTTTTTTCTCCAGACCTGCCAAAGAAGGGCTACAGGGGATGGAAGACGTTTTTTTTGTTTTTCACTGTGAGCAAACAAACAAACATATATGCACACGTAAAACCACAATCTAGGGTTACAATGATGTGTCATTTTGCCGTCGTAGATACTAGCCAGTTAATGATACCGCCATTCAGCCGTGAGTCAGATATCAGCTAGTGTAGTCCATCTTCGATTTGACGAAGCCGATTCCCTGTTCATAGCAAACCTAAGATGTCCAAACAGTGAATTTGGCGTGCTCAAAAATCTGCAATAACACATGCCTCACTCTGCCTTAATGTCATTAGGCCGGCTTTCAGTAAAGTATTTCATTGTCCACAGTGAGCTAAATGCTGCTTCAGAGGCTTCTCGATACAAAAAACAAAACCCGAGACAAACAGTAAAATGTGTTTTGGGAATGGCTTAATCCAAATGCAGAATTTTGGCATGATGTATTGGCTGCAAAATAACATGTTGGTCAAACCCTAGCGTACACAGACACTCACACGCCATGACAATGATCTGATCTAACCCGCCTCGCCGCCGCGGCGGGGGAATGTGATGTCATCAGTTTGCTTTGACACGTCACGATGAATTCTCAGATCGTCTTGCCATCCCGCCTGTTTTACTGGGAGCACTTTGGGTTTTCTTTGTTTGGTTTTTGGTACATTCCTGTGCTTTTACTGCTGAACCCTCGTGTTACCTGCTGGTTGTAGCTGTGTGATGAGCTGGTGAACATCAACTCCTCTGTCCTCTCTCTCAACTGCACAGCAACCCAACAAAAGACATTCCTGTGGACTGAAAGGGGGATTTGGGAAGACACTGAAAACAGAGGAGATATACAAGTAGGCCTAAATGTGGAATAATTCCCCCTCGACCTGGGACTGATGAAACATTTGGTTTTGTTGTTGGGAATTTTCCTGCTGTTGTTTTCTCAACCCAGGATTTCCAAATGTTTTCTGGTTGCTTTTGTCTGCTCAGAAACAAAAAAAAAAAACGAAAGGATGGGGAACCAACCTCCTCTTCATTCTGTCACCGTTTTCCTTTGTGATCTGTGTTAATCGCTTTTGCTGTGTCTGTGATACGTGTGTGTGTTTTATGCACACGAGATAAGAATTAACTCATGTATAGACCCAATTCATGCTGATGGATAGCACAACAATGGCTAGTCCTGGAGGAACGGCGAGGAGAACGCAAGAGAGCGAGAGAGAGGGAGAGAGGGAAGCACTTTTTTCCAGCATTCAAACTGTGATTGGTTCCACATTGCTGCTGCTACTGCAGCTTCCTCATTTGGCGCCGCTCCCAGTGCATTGTGGGATTGAGATTTCCCAGTGGTGAGAATCAAACTCCATCTGCTGAGCTGACACACACACTCAGAACCATTGGAAGCAGTACATCCAGGCACAGGCTTATCCAAACAAGCACACAGCAAACAAACATGTCTGTCGCTCATGCAGGAATACTCACACACGTACACACGTACAAATACAAACACACACCGCGCCATAATGCCATCTCCACTGTGATTAACGCATTTTAGCTGTTAGGATGAAGAGTCTTATCTGAAAAGTTTGGGCTAAAATCCTTAACCACAAGTCATCGCTGTATGTGTATGTCGTCGCTTTGAATACTGCCACTGAGCATTCAGCATTCGTTATTATCTGCCGTATGTGAAGCAATAGTATCACTGTGGTAGCTAATTCAGCCAGTGGCACAGAGTCACACATTCGGAATAGGAGCAGAACCCAAGACCGCGAAAGTGTACAAAGGAAAACTATACCAGCTTCAAGTTACCCATGTATCAGGAATTCAACATTTCTCTGTCTGCATGTGTAAAAATGTTTCATGAAGACATCATCAGTGTGCTTTTTTATTTTAACGGTTCAATTTAAAAGTGTCCACATAGTTTTTCAAGCAGTTTGAAAAGCGTCTGATCCTTCAGGGGACCTAAAGGTCAGACTAGAGCTGCTCCTAAAAGAGACGAAAGTCTAAACTCACAGAGAAAAAAATACCGTTGTGTTTGGCCTGACAATTTGTAAAGTCAGCTGAAGTAGGTTGAGGAGAGTCTCGGCTTTAACGTCGTTCTGATCCATGTCCTGTGTTTACCTGTGATGGATCACTTTAACCCAAGTACCTGGTAAACATGATGTCATCGTGTGAATTTACGAGTTGAGAAAGATTGCCTGAATGCCCCATTGAACAATCGACCAGCACATAACGGACTGTGGTTTACCCTGCGTGGGTGGTGTCCTGCCTAACAGAGCAGCGTGGCCAAAACTAAGATGCCTTTGAAACGGGACGTTATGATCAAGGAGATCCATGTTTAGATTAATGCTGCGTTCATGTCACATGGGATGGAAGAAGGAACATCCACAGAAGTTTGAGGCGTTCATGTCACCAGACAGTTACTCCTGTGAGTATTACAGATACTAACGATACAGTCAGTAAATTAAGAAATCAAATTTAGAATGGGTGAGATCGAGAAGGAGGAATTTACTTTATGTCTCGAGCACAAAGTCAAATATAGTCATAATAAACGTTATTTATACAGATGCCACAAGAAAACCTTAAAACGTAACAATAAAACATGAAAAAAAGACAATAAATCATTAAAATGACCTTATAAAAAAAAGCCAATCTGTCTGAGTGGAATTCAAAAAGCTTTTTCACAGCTGTTCTGACGGTGAGGAAATTTTAACTCCAATAGTTTTCTGATGTAAGCGGGCTGTATACTGAATTGTGGTGGAAGAAAACTAAGTTTCCCAACTGCTCAGTTACTTGGATGTTGATGTGATCAGCTTTTCCTGCTCCCTCCCTTATAATTCACTAAATTCTTATTTGACATGAATGCACCAAAACTCCAGGAAAGCAGCTTAAAGTCGATCCTGATTGGTTCCTATTACTGTACAGAATTACTTCCACTGCGTCCAAGTCAGTATTTGTTCTGCCAAACAGCAGGTTCTGACTAAAAACGGCACATTTAAAATTTAAAACAAACATCTCCTCGGTGTTTTCTAGATTAGCGGTTGTGGGGGATTTGACGCTAAATGCCAGCAATATTCCTCCGTGTTTGTTTTCTTTTTTGTTGTTGTTCCTCTCCGTGTTGTCAGACTGCTCGGAAACAGTTGATTGCCTCAGTGCTTCCTTGTTTGACTGCGTGGTTCCCTCAGGCTACTGTACGGTACCGACTAAATAACAACCAACAAAACCCAGTCCCACTGAAACAAACGCGCTTCACACAAACGACAACACCAGCTTACTGCTCGGCATTCGAAGAGTACGAGGCCTCAGCGCGACATACATTCCTCTCCGTCCGGGCTGCTACATGTTAGTTGCATTTGAACCCTGAGAGGGCGAGCGGGGACGCCGCCGACCGTCTTTCCTATCTGAGCACAAGGTTTTCCAAAGACGAGTTCGGAGGAGGTGTGCGACTCGGGGTCCGTCTTGGTGTTCTTGTTGTGGCGGTGCGCCGAAGTGGCTGCTAAATTATCGATGATCACCTGGTTATATATTTAGCGCTCTGCACAGACGGGACAACGCGGGGGGAGGAGGAGGTGGGTGGTGGGGGGGGAATTTGAAATATAGAAAAAGAGCAAAAACAGCTCAAGTAACTGTCTGTGATATTGTCTGTATGTGATTTACTTGTATATGATCATTTCAGAGCGTTGGAGGAGACACGTGTAGACTGAAAAATGCTCTAATAGCCATTTCTCTGACTGACCTGGGATTGCATTTATATTAAATGTTCCAGTCCCACGTTCTGCAAATCCTAAATGTGTATATGTATATGAAGAGATAATATAAAGATGTATACGGCGGGGGGGGAACCAGATGAACTGAGTCCTTACTCTGGTACTAAACACATTCATTCTTCTGTCTTTTCTGGTTTAACGCATACGCCCCTCTCCTTTGACGCGAGCGCGACCTTTAGCTCGAGTCCCCGGAGGCCGCAGACGGAGGGATGCTCCCGCCTCGAATCCACCGTAAACATTCAGTCCATCTGGGCCCCCGAGGATTTATCAAAATGTGCGAAACGTTTTATTTTCGATCATTATTCTGTTGTTGTTGAGATACACATCTTATTGCTTTTGCCGTGCCTAAGAAGAAAAATCTCCCTCATATGTGTGTAACTGTGAACTTTTTTCATGTAGAAATGAACTTGTAGAAACTGTGATACCGTCTTGTCCTGTGCATTGCCGTAAGTTTTTTCTCTCTTTGCAGTGATGGGAGTTGAGGTGGGGAGTGTGTGTGTGTGTGTGTGTGTGTGAGTGTGTGTGAGTGTGTCTAGATAAGGGAGTTGATGTCCATGTTTTTTGTCAATGGTTGTGACATTCCAGCAGCAGCCACCACCTTTTCTATTATCCAAAGCCTCTCAATAAACATATCATTGTGCCACTTGCTCTCCGTCCTTTCCTGCTGTGTGTGAGCGAGAAACTGTCACTTGTCAGTCTGATGACGCTCGGCGTGAGACGGCGAGCCTCCAGCGCAGTCTGAACTTTGAGGCGTTCTCAGATCCATCAGTGAAACGTATACACACACACACACACACACACACACACACACGCTCGCTCGCACGTACTCGTGTTGCCGTCGCTGCAGAGGACACTGCATCGGCTTGCGTTCATTTTCCGGATACAAAGCTTAACCGTTGCATAATCTTAACCATTATACGTAACCGTTATCCAACTGACTAAAGACCCAAGATTCATACTGTTTTTCATTTCTCACAGGTGCTTTTTTTTCATCCCTGGCTAATCAAGTTATTCATACTAACTCTACGTTGTTAAGATTCTGCTTATCTATTCACTGTACACCATGGGTCCTAATTTAAAGCATGTCACATTCAAAGGAGACAGATGCAGCAGATGCATAACGTCCACATGTGCTGCTATTCTCCCCGATCAGCCACAACAATTAAAACAACCTGCTTAATACCATGTGGGTCCCCCTCACGCTGCCAAAACAGCTGTGACCTGTCGGGCCGTGAACACAGGACCTCTGGGGGTGTCCTGTGGCGTCCGGCACTGAGATGTTGAGGACTTTCTGGTCCTGTTGGTGGGGCCTCAAAGCAGTGTTCTGCTGGGAAACGCTGGGTATTCATGCAAATGTTACTCTGACACGTACCACCCACCTGAACATTGTTCTGGATCAAACAGCATCCTGGTGACAGACACCACAGAGCTGTTGTGTCCGAGCTGTTTCAGTGGCACGAGGAAGACCTACACAGTATTAAGCAGCTGGTTTTATTATTGTGTGGTTCCAATTGCAAACCGTGTACGATTATCAAAAGATCAAATTAAATTCAATTTGTGAAAACACAAGTCATTTTTGAGTCGTGTGCAAAACTGATGTAGGGATGCAAAACCTGTTTGCAGCCAACAACAAAGTAGCTCAGCAAATAGTTCATAGTTGGAATAAAAATGATAAAATTAATTGGCTTCAAGGATACAGCAAAGAAATCCTGTTTGATGTGTGGAATAACAGCAGATGATCCATGCTGTGCTTTAGACAGGTGATGCAAACATGAGTTTTATTAAAAATGTCAGAGAGGAGAAAATTTTAAATAAACATTTATGATGATCAGAAACATTAGACAAATGCCTTCGACTACTGAACGGTAAAATAATTTATTGCACAAATTTAGAAAATAAAAACTGTTAGGTGACTCTTGACTCTTGTGCAACAAAGGGTTAATGTTGTGGCTGATGATCGGTCTATAATTTACTGATAAAATGTTTTATGACTATGAAATGACTATGAAGTTTTTGTTGTACAAGATATATGACACCAGATTCTGTTATAAGAGCTACGACTCGTGTATGTGACCAACATGCAACCAAAAATAAAGACTAATGCAGAGAAAAACATCTAAATTAATGCAAATTAGCTGTAACTTTCTGAAAATAATAAAATTCTTATTTTTCAGGTGACAATAAATACAGAACTCATGTTTTGAGAAGAAATAAGTGAACATTTTTACCATGATAGTTTCTCAGAGCACTGCTGAGATGCTCTGAGATTCCAGTCAGCAGTCCTTGTATGTTTGTCGGCAGGATGAAGGTTAAACCAAGTCTTCATTGATTTATATCTGGGGCTTTATGTCTTCAAAAGAGAGGTGGGCGTCCACAGCATGACTGAGGAAAAAGATTCATGTTCCTACAACATCGATAATACCAGTACACACGCACGCGGACACTCTGGATACTTTAAAATACGACTAGAATATTAAATTACTAGCATTTAAAATGACACACGTATGACCAAAGCAATTACAAACTACACACATTAGTGGTTTAATGTTTTGCACAAGAAAGATATTTGAACATACTAACCTGCTCCTCCACTTAAAATCTAACAAAACTATTTTATTTGGTTGTCTTTGTGAAGACCCCCCTCTGATGGTATCTTTTAAATCCACACAGTCATGCATACAGACGCCACTGTGTTTGAGAGCTACCGTGACAACTCGCTTTGAAATTATTCAAATTAAATTAAGCCAAATTTAGGGAAAGAAAAAAAAAATGACAGCAGAAATATTAACCACAGGCTGCCTCAGTTTCCTGTTAATGTGCAAAACAAACAAACAAACCAAGACCAAAGAAAAAAGACCTTAAACTGAGCTGGTCTTCATTGTGCTGGACACATACAGAAGGTTAACAGACTATATGTGGTTTATTGCACACAGCAGATTGGCTGCAGATTGGACAGACGTCAAACAAACAACTCTATTTTCCTCTGAAGGTGTGTTTTGTGGGTTTTTTTCCACTGGACGACCATCATGTAGGTTTTCACAGTCACTCTGCTTCATAACTTAATGCAGAGGCAACAACCAAGATAATCAATCTCTCCTCTGCAGA